TCAGGCTAAGAGAACAGGGATAAAACAACCTACCATCTCCATAGCCTTGGAGAGGATCCACCACTCCTCCTAACACTCTCTGCAGGTAGAAAGGAGAGTTGCCTAATTCTTCTTGGGGAATCACAGCATGTTTGGGCGCCAAACTAATTTTCTGAGGACCCTTTCACTACATTCCTCCATAAATCTGCCCCAGACACTCCAGACAACAGGCAGCTCTCAAATACTCCATGTTCTTGTACATAATAATCCATCTTTTGCTCTTAATATTCCCTCAGTGAAAAATACTCTCCCTTTTTCTGATGAAAAGTCTATTCACCCAAAGCCAGCAGGTGGCGTAGAGGTTGAGGATGCCGGATTCCCACATGATGGACTGTGGTTCGATTCCCGGATCTCGTAGCTTGCTTTCTCACTTTCCCTCTCTCTTTCTCATTCTGTCCCTCTCTGATCAAATTAATAATAATAAAATAATTCTCACTAAAAAAAAAAAAGTCTATTCACCCAAGTCAAATGTCACCTCTACCCCACAGCCATATCCTTCTATTCAATGCCCTATGGTCTTGAATACACAGTAGGTCCTCAGAAAGAGTTTGTTGATTCAAACTGAGAAGCTATTCATTCATTCCCTCAAAGCCAGCAGATCATCAGAACTAAGGGGAAAGGAGGAAGAAGGTGAAGGATAGACCAAGTGTTGATTTGAATCACACAGTCTCCCTCCCCCTACTTAACTGGGGGTGGTACGCCCCACTCCTCTTGAAAAATTAAACCAACCTCAGCAAGCACAACTCAGCAGGCAGTTTGGAAACTTTAAAGAACTATAAGTAGTTTCAAGGTTCTCCCAGCTGCTATTAGTCAGGTATTGACCTTGGGATGTGGTCACAAGGATTATATATTTTATTTTGCCATCCACTCCCTCTAATACTCTGATACCTCTAGCTATATAGGCAAGAAAGAGTCTTTCATACAGGTTCTGAATATTATCTTTGAGCTCCTCTGGGAACAGTCTAGCCTTCTCTCAACCCTCCCACCTCTTGGTGAGTAATTCTACAGTGCCACCTTTGCAGTCCTCCCTGTTGAGAAAGTAGTTTTCCCCTTAATATATCCAACTTCCTCCCTGAACCCTTTTCCTAACCTTCACCATTAAGACAGCAGGAAGGTAATGTGCCTTCTCAGCTGCCTGACGAAAATACATGGCACATTTCAAATTAATAAGGGTTTTGGTAGCTGCAGCTTCCTCTATGATCCTACAAGCTCTATTTACTCACATTTATTATAGAACTTAGCTATTCCAATTTTTTTTTTTGGGGGGGAGGGAGGTTTTTGCTATAGGGTACATGCGCTCGCCAGAAAGACAGAGAGAGACAGAGAGACAGAAAGCAAGAAATCACTCCCTCCCCCAAGGGGGATGGCCACGCCGCAATCCCTTCTCCAGTCTCCTCTCGGGATCTTGGGCACACACACACGTGCGCCTGGCATGAGTTTAAGCCTCCAGGTCTGGGACTCGAACCATGGTCAACTACATGGCAGTCTAGCGATATAGTCATTACACCAACTGCTAGTCCCAGCTATTCCAATTTCTAATTGACCATTTTATGCCTCTTATCTCCCTCACTATGTAAACTTCTTGAGAACTATGCCTAGTTCCCAACAAAGTGCCCAGGATATAGTGTGCACTCAATAAACTACCAGCTTAGAAAGAAATAACATTAAATAAATTGCCACCTTAGGCCCTTAGTCAAGCTCAGTGACTATGTGAGTTCAGAAGAAACATTTCAGCGGTGATCAAAACCAAAAAGTCTTTATATAGCAGTCAGACTGCTATATGCAAAGACTCAGCTAAAGGCAGTCTTAAACAAGGATCCTTTTGACAGGGCCAACTATTCCCTATGTTCCGCAGATACTCACTATGGTCAAAGTAGTAAACTTAGTTCTCCAGAATTTACTTTCCCAAGATCTGGCAATTCAATAAATACATTCCCCAGCCCCCACTTCAACAACTCTCCTATATCCTTCTGACCTTTAATACTGTGTAATACTAGATGAAAAATTGATTATTTTTGGCTACTTATTTCACAGCTGAAGAAAAAATATACTGTTTAAGGTGTTAAATATTTTTACATGCAACAAACCTGGCATGAATCTAACCTGTATGCACATTTTAGAGGTACAGGCGTAAATGTCAGTGCTATAATTTGTTATAGGTTTCTGATGACCAGCAATGAAAATGACCACGGATTCTCACAATTCAAACCACTTTTACGTAAATGTGAACTTTCCTAAAACAGCCAAGGAAGAGAACTTTCCACCCACTCTCACAGAGTCTCTTAGAGATACTGATAGCATTGTGCACTGGGTTAGGGGTTCTTGAAAAAATCCTACAAATATTAGTTTCTTTCTGGGCCTATGCTTTGACCTTTAATAAAAATGTGCTTCAAGACACCAGTTATTAAAAATGAAAGGAACAGTTTTTAATGCCTGAACAACTGCCATTTCATATAATTGGCCCCACCAATGGCTATACTGTGTAAGTCAGAAGTGAATAAAAAAAAAAAATTAAAAAAAAAAAATATATATATATATTTATAGTGACTTCACTTAAATCACTCACTTACCAGACATGAAGTAGGGTTACAAGAAACCATGAATTGAATGTATCAGGCATCTGACACCCTAGAAAATAACAATAAAATATAAATATATGACAGTTTAGCAGAAGCACACCAACTGTGTTTTAAATACTGGTAATAATTTGCTCAACTAAAATACACAGCAATTACAGTGCTCTCTGATTATGCTACTGCAGAGGAGGCCATAGAATCACAGAGTAAGACCATGGGCTGAAGGAACTTTGGATGCAGCCGACCACCCTTTCTAGCTCTAGCCCCATAACCACCTTGCTATGTAGTCTTGCACAGATTACTTCTCCCCTCTGAGTCTCAGTTTTCTTGCTTCAGATAATGTGACCTACATAAACTCTATGGTTCCTTCCAACTTCCATGTGCTTCTATAATTATTTTCCCTCCCTGGGCATGAATTCTGAAAAGCAAGGCAAATACCATCTTGCCTACCACACTTACATATCAGCTTTTTTCACTTGAGCCTCATTGAGTTTAAGTCTTTCTAGTCTCCTTTTCCTGTCATCTTTCTTTAGGTAACCCATCATCACATGGGTGTCTGGCTGGATGAGAGGACCCCTGCTGAGTGTGCCCTCATTATATGTCAGGGAAAAAAGCTGGAGCAAGAGGATAAAGAAAAATAGATAATCAGCAGGATATCT